ATGATCCGGAGTGTCGGTGACTGGGGAATTGAGACACGTTCCGTCACTCGGAGTACGAAACGCACCTCGTTTCCCCCACCCGGGCTAACTCCTATTCCGAACACAATGCAATATGCATGACATGCATGAATGCAACTAAGATACAGCCTAGCATGCACAATGCTATGAAAATGAGATGCCTCGAAATGCGTGCACACGGGCACGCAAACTGAGGAAATGCATGAATGCTATCTAAGATACAACCTAGTATGCACTATGCTGTGAAAATGAGATGCCTCAAAATGCGTGCACACGGGCACGCAAATCGAGAAAATGACATACACAATGCAAATGATATGAAATGCGATATGGACTTACACTAACATGAGAGAGCCTCAGCCACACTCACATAGGATGCCGGTAGATGAAAATAGAGTGCCTCGAAATGCGTGCACACGGGCACGCAAACCGAGGCGATCACAGAATGCGATGCAATGACATGAAAACATGATATGGGTTTATACCAACATGAGTGAGCCTCAGCCACACTCACATAGGAGGCCGGTGGATAAAAACGAAGTGCCTCGAAATGCGTGCACACGGGCACGCAAACCGAGGCGATGGCAGAATGCGATGCAATGGCATGAAAACATGATATGGGCTTATACCAACATGAGTGAGCCTCAGCCACACTCACATAGGATACCGGCGGATAAAAAAGAAGTGCCTCGAAATGCGTGCACACGGGCACGCAAACCGAGGCGATGGCAGAATGCGATGCAATGACATAGAAATGGAAAGCAATCATTCTGATAGAATTTCAGCACTAAAATATGGGGGAAAACAGTCCCGAAATGAGGCGAAATGACACCAAATGCATGGAATTGTCCCGAAGTGCGAATTTAGGCACCCGAAATGGCCTATAGCTATGCCAAACATGCACAATATGGACATGTAATGCAAAGACAGAAGCTAGGAAGTCCCAAAAAAGGCACTTTCACAGTTATAATCATGGCCATACAGAAAGCATAGGTAGGGGAAAAATGGCATGCAAGAATAGGGGCCAAGAGAGGGGTAATGAAGCAAGTGATATAAGAAAAACCTAAAATGAAAAATTTCCTTCTACAACATTGAAGAGGGACCAAAAATATGATTGTTTACAGTATATGGAAAGCCTCGAATCAATATACAAATATGCTAAAAAAACGGCACAAGATTGAGGCTCAAAAGGTACTATAACATGAAGTATACAAAATAATCACCAAACAGAAAAAAAGTGTTAATGAAACATGAAGTATAGGCCAAAATAAGGCCACTTTCAGTTCGGACCAAGGTCCAAAAACAGA